TGGCTAGAAATTTTTTTTTTTGCTAAAATTTTAGCTACAAAATTGTAGACTCTAACCATCTTTGTTTGGCTTTTTGGCCTGAATCATGCATTTTTATGTTCAGAAGCAGAGCCGTGCCACAATGGTGAAAAATGAAACTTTAGCTTAGGGCATCTTTTTAATTGAAAAAGTTTAAAGGGCATATTTTTATTTGTTTCATTTAGTTAAACTCAAATAATAAAATTATGGAATCATAAAATTAAACGTAAAAAACTTTTTGATAATTAAATTAAACAAAAGATGGGTCTACATAATAACAACAATTAGAGAAATTTTTAAAAATCTTATTTTTCAAGTGCCACTTTTTAAAAATGTCACATTTTCAAAATCTTTACAAATATGCTATTTTTCAAAATTATTTTTTCATTATATAATTTATGTTTGGTTAACTATGTTGTATTAGGATTGACACTTTAGTAAGTCCTTATGCATTCTTAGTTTCATCTTTCTTCTTTATATATTCTAATGTTTTCGAAACAGGAGTTGAGATTGGAGAAAATGGAAAGACATCAAAATGAATCCGTCGGAATTTTGTGACGGATTTCTGACGGATTTTCTTTTTTAATTAAAAAAAATATTTATTAAATTGCCGCAGAATTATAAAAAAAAAATTAAAATCCGTCGGAAATCCGTCACACAATTCCGACGGATTTTAATTTTTTTATTAAAAAAAAAATATTTATTAAATTGCCGCAGAATTATAATAAAAAAATTAAAATCCGTCGGAAATCCGTCACACAATTGCGACGGATTTTAATTTTTTTATTAAAAAAAAATATTTATTAAATTGCCGAAGAATTATAATAAAAAAATTAAAATCCGTCAGAATTTTGTGACGGATTTCCGACGGATTTTAATTTTTTTATTAAAAAAAAATATTTATTAAATTGCCGAAGAATTATAATAAAAAAATTAAAATCCNTCGGAATTTTGTGACNGATTTCCGACGGATTTTAATTTTTTTATAGTAAAAAAAATATTTATTAAATTGCCGCAGAATTATAATAAAAAATTACAGGTTTCCGACGGAATTCCGACGGAAAACCCTAATTTCTGCCGCCCAAACAATTCGATCTCATTGAAAAAGAGGGAAAATCCGTCGGAAATCCGTCGGAAGTCCGTCGGAAACCTGTAATAAAACCAGACTCCTCTTCTTCGCGGAGACAGACG